TTGCGATTTTTGTCTGATTTTTTTTTATTTTTTTTGTTTTTTTGACTTTTTTTTGATTTTTTTTGATTTTCTTTCGATTTATATGTTCCCTTTTGATTTCCTGCCTTATTAGGGAATCGATGATCATAATTCTAGAGCTGTATGGCCTTTAAACAGAACCCTCCTAAACCTGTATTCTTTGCCTGCAAAACTAAAACCGTTCTAAAGCTGTATGGCCTGGTGAAGAGACCCTTCTAAACCTTAATTCCTTGCTTGTGACAGCCAGCTTAAGGGACCCTTCTAATCTTGTCTTCCCTGCTTGTAAGAGCGCTGTATGGGCCTGTAGACAGGATCCTCCTAAATCTGTATTCCCTGCCTGCAAGACCCTGCTAGAGAGTTGCATGGCCTGATTGAGGCACCCTGCTTGACCTTTTTGGGTTGACTGCATCCCGTCGGCCCCTGTGCACCTCCAATCGGATGTCAGGACCCTTGGGAAACATGTTAGAGCTGTGTCTTGTTTGGTATATGAGTCTCTCTACAGCTTTCACAGATGCTTCTGTGCCCGAGTTATGTTGAGTCGTTCTCGTTTGTCGGGTTTTCCTCGCGCGCGAAAGAGCGCGGAAGCTACGCGGAAAGGAGCTGTTTCTGGGAGAAATTTCGGATAACCCACATACAATGCATGTCATGGGCCCGCATAAAGTTCCGATATTTGCCCAAAGTCGTTCGTCCTCCCTCCAGGTATTTGGGGATGAGTGACATCGGCCTCTGCATCTACAAAAGCTTTGCGATGCTGACCGGTGACATGGTGTTGCCCTCACCAGCGCCAAACAGAAGCTGTCGTGCTTCGCGCTGGCGCTCTAGCCAGTACGATTCTGACGAACACAGGTTTTCGATGACATCTACCGGGTGGATGAGATCTTGGGCACCATTTACTTCTTTGCCGAGCTCTCACTTTTCTGAAGCCTTTCGAGTTGCTTCATGTTGAGTCTTCCTAGTCACTCTCCGATTCTTCCCCCTATTTCGGTCTCTCTGTCTTCGCGATCGGTCGCGCTCGCTCCATGATTCTCCAAAGTCTCTCTGTTTCTGTATCTTTCATCCTCCTGCTCTCTCTGCCTCCCCCGTCCCGCTTTCCCCACCTCTTTGCGGGTGTATGCTGCGCATTGCCCAGTCACAACGGACAAGACTGCTTCCTGGCAGATGACTAAGTTTTTCTACATCCTGTTCTACTTGGTGCTCATAAACATTTTTGTGACCCTGCTGATGAGCGGCCAGCCTTGCAGTGCTTCGAATTTTGTATCAGCAAGCACGCTTGCGACCCACCGTGTTCGTTTGTGGCAGGTTATGATGTCGTTGATTATCAGCTGCAGAAGAGGGGGCTGAATGAAAAGGTGCCACATCATGCTGTTGTGAGACACGGTACAAGCTGCGAAAAATAAGGCCCTTTGACTGTCCACTTTCGGACTTTCGCTTTGGGAGGAACAGAATCCGATCACTCTCATCTTCGAAGAGCTCAAGGCAGACGTCGTCGCGGGCTAAGGCTGCGGCGAAGGTCACTACGTGAAAGATGTGTTGAGATTCTGGATCGTGTCGTCGCTCATTTTTTTGGTCGATGTGCGAAAGTAGGAGTGGGCGAGTGAGTTGCCCCGTCCCAGGGGCCCCATCTGTCAGTCTGTGTCTCCCTGTCCCCCTCTGTTGATGCAGGAGTTTGCATGCACCGTAGAGTTTGTGGCAGCAAGAACGATTAGGTTGGAAACATCTTGAAGTACGGTGCCACGGTCATCAAGTTTCTTGGCATGACCTCCAGTGGTAGCAGCCGGGTGACCGCATTACTAAATTACCGAAGTTGCCAGGTATGCAACGATTTGCCTGGACCCTATTGTCGTATCCATCAAGGCCCGTTTCTCTGGCAAGCGAAGTCTGAGCGATCGCTCCTACGGGCCAGGCATGCTTCTTTTGTTCAACGCCAAGCTTTCTGACCTCGGGAGTCAGGCCGACAGCACTATCGAAGTCTCAACGGACACAGAAGATTTGCATTGACTCAGAGACATCAGCATATTTGCAGGACGAAGCAGCATGGAGCTCAGTCTCCCAGATGTCTTATGCGAGATGCAAGGCTCAAGATTCATGTCCCTTGCTTCCCAGACGCACGGCTGGCGCGGCTGACGTTCATGACGCACAAGCTCAGAATTCAGAGGTTCCTCATGTCGCTGTGCTTGGAGTCACAGGTTCTAATGGAATGGCCCATTTCAGGGTTTTTCACAGTCTCTGCGAACTGATTTTCATCCCAGGCCTTGTTCGACAGGTGGGCATCTGCATGGCTAACTCATGTTAGCATTGTTGGCTCTGTTAAATCACGAAAGCTCCTCGTGAGCGAGCTTCGTTCATTATTACCTCACGGAGTGAGCTTGGGGTTATCGGGGGGGGGGTCAGGATTGGTGGGTCTTTTCGGCTATCCCCCATCTGGAGCTGGACAAAACCCCGTTGCCAAAGGGGCCTGTTTTGGGCCAGATTTCGGTCCTTTTGGGTAAGTGGCGTTTTAGACGTCCAAAGGAAAAACAGGCCTCCTCTGATGCTGCTGATGCTGGCCTGGGCGTGTCATCTGATGCTGCCGATGCTGGCCTGGGCGTGTCGGCTTCAC